CCAGGTTTGTTATTTTCAGTCACATATGCGCTGTACGACTGTTCCTCAAACACAGGTGGGTTGTCGTTGATGTCAGCTACAGATAACTCAACAGTTTTAGAGGAGGACAGAGGTGGAGAGCCCTCGTCAGTGGCAGTGATTGTAATGTTGTAATCAGACACTAGTTCACGGTCCAGTTGTCCTGTGGTCACCAGAGAATAATAGTTTTTAATAGAAGGAACCAACTTAAAAGGGACATTCTGCTGAATGGAGCAGCGAACCTGTCTGTTATTCTCAGAGTCTCTGTCCTGCACGTTAATGATGCCCACCTCTGTACCAGGTGACACGTTCTCAGGTATGGGGTTAGACAATGATTTCAGATATATAACTGGAGCATTATCATTTATATCAGTAACATCTATTATAACTTTGGCGTACGATGTTAGCCCTAAACCATCTTTAGCTTGCACTCTCATTTCAAAAGAATTCCTTTCTTCAAAGTCAATCACACTAGTTACTTTAATTTCTCCCGTTTTAGGATCAATAGAAAAAACATTTACATCATTGTCAGATACATGGCCAAACTGATATGTCACATTTCCATTTACTCCTTCATCTGCGTCAGTAGCACTGACTTTAATCACTATGGTATCAGGAGGAGAGTTTTCAGGCAGACTGGCTTTATAAACGGTCTGGCTAAACACTGGGACGTTATCATTAGCATCCAGCACAGTGACGTGTATGACTACGGTACCTGATCTCTGAGGAGACCCACCATCCAAAGCTGTGAGAAGCAAATTCAGCTCTTTTTGTTTCTCTCGGTCAAGTTTATTTTCCAGTACGAGTTCAACCTTGTTACTGTCAACAGCGAGAATAAAGTTGTCGTTTTTTTGTAGGCTGTACCTCTGAACAGCATTTTGACCTATATCTGCGTCATGGGCCTCCTCGATGGAGAAGCGATTGCCCTTCTCAGCAGACTCCCTAATTTCCATTTCAATCAAATCTTCTCTGAATTTTGGCGAGTTGTCATTAACGTCTTGAATGTGAAGACTTACACGATGAAGCTCCAAAGGATTTTCTAACACTAAATCTACTGTTAACAAGCATGATGGTTTCTTGCCACAAAGACTTTCTCTGTCAATTCTCTCCAATGCTGTCAAATCCCCGGTACTCAGATTAATGTCACAGTACCGCTTACTAGATCCCTCAAAATCAACACGGGCCTTTCGGGAAGATAAGGTCCTCAAATCAAGACCGAGATCCTTTGCAATATTTCCAATAATAGACCCTCGTTTCATCTCTTCTGGAACAGAATAACTCAGGTCTCCATAAACGAGGTGCAGCGTTACAAGAAAGGAAGCGAAGCAGAAGATCGGACGAAGCGCTGAAAATCCTTTGTCTCTCATTCTGACACAAAACGAGCCCTTAACTTGTCCAACTTATACTGTCCAGTGTGACGAAGCAAAATCTGTCCAAAAACAGTCAATAACGCAACACTTCACAGCAGTGTACACATCAAAGAGGATCAGAAATTTAACCGTTTCTCAGAAAAATCTGAAACTGATATCTATGCAGCAGTAGTGGGTGGAGTGGTGAGTGCCTATTTTCTGTCAGCCCACAGCGACACCATGAGTCACTTTTAATCTTTACACTTGTATGCAATAAAATATTATTCACTCAGCTTCATGTGAACTGTCTTTAATTTACTTAAAGCACACACACGATTAATCGATTGTAATTGACTCAGCGCTGGGGATGTAAGCTATGTGTCGTTCACCCAGTACAGTCAGCCCAACAACAAATGTTACCTTTGCTTGACCTTTATATAAGTTGGTATACACATGAACTAGACTACAGATAAATACATACCTTCTGCCTTCTGAGCCTCTGAAAGAAAAACACAGCTAAACTTTCAGTACAACACTGTTACTTTTACTAACACAGTAACTTGCGATGGTAGTTAAAAAACTGCAGATATTAACTCTATATTAACACAATGAACTAAGGCAGTCAGGTAGCCTATTGCAACAAGCCAAAGATTATATTGCTTTAAAATGATGATGATGTGGTGGTAGTAATAGTAGTAGTAGTAATCAAAATTCAGAAGGCGTGGCCATGGAAAAAAGCCATCTCTTGCTCCGATCGTGCCTGCGCCCCTTAAGGGTATTTCAGCACCACGGACAGAGACCTTGAGAGTTGAAAGGAATGAAGGAAGAAAGTTACTAAACGCTGTGTTGGTCCCCTGGCCACTGTTCTAAGGTTTTACCAATGTGAGTTAGAAACTGCTTCACAAAAAAACTGACTCATCCTTAGACCCGAGGCTTTGGCCTCTTATCTCGAGGCTGGCTCGAAAATAGAACGCTGTTTCAATCAATTCTTAAGACATCTCCAAGAATAAAACACACAAATGACGAAGTAAAATATGTTGCAGTGAACAATGTAAAGCTTGTACAAAATGCTTGATTAAAAAAAACCGCGAAAGCTTCAGTCATTAAATACACTTTACTAGTACACGTCCTAGTAAACAGCTGTATTTTTCCAATGTGGCCGAGGAGTTTTGCTGATAAAGAGCGAGTTGAAGGAAATACTTGATTGCAAAGGATTTACTTGATTACAGATCGAAATGGCCCCACTTATGATAACAGCCAGATCTCTTTTGTCAGCGTCTCAAACATTTTTCTTTCTCAGACCGGACCTGGGAATATATCTCTCATCAAAAGAGCACAGAGGGACTTCCGGTGACGGCATGGAGGCGCCTGCAGCATAGCAGCCGAGTTCCGCTGGACAAAAATTATAGACAAGAGTGACAACAACAACATTTCTGAAACGTTAAATATATATTCATGAAACATGAGTTCCTCCGCCGGTCAAAGGAAACAGGACAAACTCGATCCCCCGCGAGGAAAAGAGGTTAATAAGCCGCCGAATCAACCGAGCCCAACTAACGCTAGCAAAAACAAGGCTAACGTTAGCAGCAACATATGTCAATCGGATACATCGGTACTGGAGGAGTTGAGAAAACTTCGCAAGGAAAACCAAGACGGACACAATTACACCAAACTGGCCCTTGGTCGCGTTGAACAAACTGTTTCAGACATAAAAGACCAACTGGCAGAACACGAAGAACGAATAGGAAAACTGGAGGAGAGAATCGGTGCGGCCGAGGATGCGGAGATACGCCACCGGAGGGCACTGAGATACCTGCTGCACCGTGACATTGATCTCTCGGCGAAATGCGACGACCTGCAAAACAGACTGAGAAGAAACAATATCATGATCTTTCAGATCCCGGAAGACAGTGAAGGAAAAGACATGGCTGGATTTATTAGAGACCTGCTTCAGAAGGAACTGAAATTACCACCAGACTTGGACATTAAGATTGAAAGGGCACACCACTCCCTCGTGGCCAAACCCAAAGATGCTCCAGCCCCCCCAAGATCGATTATAGTGAGATTTTTGGATGCAGCAGTAAAGGATGCGATCATAAAGCAGGCATGGAGCCAGGGTCCAGTCCTCTTTCAAGGCAAACGGATCTACTTTGATCAGGACTACTCCCCTGACTTACAGCAGAAACGGATGAGGGTGCATGAAGTTATTAAACAACTTAAAAAGAAAGACATACAGGCGAAGTGTCTGTACCCTGCAAAACTGCGAATCAAGCTGAACACCGGGGAGAAGACATTTACATCACTAACGGGGGCCGCGACGCTGTTGAAGGAGCTGGGGGTTGACGTGCGCTGCGAGGAGAGGGAGCGCATCGAGGAAGAACTGAAGGATGGATGGAGGAGCCAAGAGAGGAGAAAAAGGAGAATGCTTCTGTCACCAGCGGATTTCAAGGCCATTCTGCTGGAGGAAGACTGAAGTGACAAGCGTCATTAGGTTTTCTTTTTTGGAGTTTCTATTGTTGTCACATAGTAAGGTTATGTGTTAGATAGTCCAGAAGGAGGCTATGCTTGAATATGAGTGGAATACACTCACTCGGACCTTTTTTACATCTTAATGTAATATTGGTCTCACTTGCACTGTGTGTGCTTTTCTCCACGGAGAGGGTAGGTCACACCTCTCTGCCCCAATATCACCGGGGATCTGACTTAGTTATAGTTCAGTTCCAGCGTCAGATTGAAGAAGTGGAAGGTCATTTTTATACTGTTCGTTGTTCTTTATTTCTCCTGACATATGTTACAGACAACGTTTGGTTAGTGATTAGACTTACTATGATATTTAAGTTCAAACAGGTAGGGAGCTATATTATAAAACTACACAGAGATTATGGCTGAGTTGAATTTCATAAATTGCAATATAAGAGGAATTAACAATCCGATCAAAAGGAAAAAAATCCTGGGACAATTAAAGAAACTGCATTGTTCTTTCGCTCTAATTCAGGAAACACACCTGTCGCAGACTGAGCATTTAAAACTGAAGAGAGAATGGGTAGATCAGGTGTACAGCGCATCATGTGGGAGGAAAAAGAAGAGAGGAGTTGCTATACTATTTAATAAATCTGTGTACTACAACAATGAAAAAATTTTACAAGATAATGAAGGCCGGTATGTTATGGTGATAGGCACAATTGGAGGGAAAAAGATAACTATACTCAATGTGTACGCCCCAAATGAAGACTGCCCCCTCTTTTTAAAAAAAAAGCAACCCTACTAGCTGACAAAAGTGAGGGGATTATAATAGTAGGGGGCGACTTTAACTGCACCTTAGATTCAAAATTGGACAGGTTACCAGCAACAAGAAAACCTCAATCCAAAATGTCCAAGGGCTTATCAGATATGATGAAGGAACTAGGTCTAGTGGACATTTGGCAACAGCTCCACCCTAATGAGAGAGATTTCACTTACATGTCTCAAGTACATGGGAGCTATTCAAGAATAGATCTTTTTTGTATATCAAAAACTGAACTGCATAGAATAAAAGAAAGTACACTCAAGCCAATCTCTATCTCAGACCACGGCCCTGTGACCATGAAAATTAACCTAGGAGTAGACAACCACTTTAGACATTGGAGACTTAATGTGTCATTACTAACAGATATGAATATTAGGCAAGAATTGAGAGAAGCTTTGACTGAGTATTTTACCATAAATGATGACGGTAATGTCTCCCCTTCAATCGTATGGGATGCCAGTAAGGCCACGATGAGAGGGAAGATTATCTCTATAGGATCCAGAATTAAGAAACAAAGGCTTGCTAAACAACAACGATTGGAAGATGAAATAAAAAAATTAACAAGAGAACACAAACAATTTGGAAAGAAAGACACTTTTAAAAAGTTAAAGGAAGTTAGACAACAACTGGATGAGGTTTTGACATATAAGGCAGAGATATGCTGAGATATACTAATAGGAAATATTATGAAATGGGGAATAAAGCCAGTAGGCTACTGGCCCTTCAACTCAGAAAAGCCCAATCTAACCGTGCAGTTCCTAAAATTAGGAACCCCGAAACCAGTCAGGTTGAGACCGACCCCACTAAGATATCGGACTCATTTGCCACATATTACAAACAACTATACAAGGCCGAAGAACTAGAATTTAAAGAAGAGAAAACTTTAGAGTTTTTAAGACCCCTTAAAATGAATAAACTATCAAGTGAGGAAGCAGAACTCTTAATAAAACCCATCACAGAGAGTGAAATTAAAGAAACCATTACCAAAATTAAAAACAATAAAACACCAGGAACAGATGGTTTCTCTGGAGAGTACTATAAAATATTTGTGTATGAGCTCACACCCATATTGTGTAAATTATATAATTATGTTCTAAAATCAGGAGACCCCCCAAACTCATGGTCGGAAGCCATAATATCAGTGATACATAAAGAGGGAAAAGATCCCCTTTTATCCACTAGTTATCACCCAATAAGTTTACTTTGTGTAGATTATAAAATTTTGACCTCTATAATAGCTACTAGAATCCAAAAAAATATAAAAAAAACTAATACAACCAGACCAGACGGGGTTTATATCAGGACGTCAAGGAACAACCAATATAAGGAGAGCCCTGAACCTGCAGGCAATAGCGGCAAGGGACAGACAACCATCAGTGCTTCTCGGCTTAGACGCTGAGAAAGCATTTGATCGAGTGGACTGGGCATTTTTGAAGCAGACACTGATGGAAATGGGCTTTGGGAAGGAATTTGTGGCTTGGATAAACTTATTATATAAAGAGCCCTGCTCCAAAGTCAGAGTTAATGGTCATTGTTCTAGTTTTTTAAGGATCGAACGAGGGGTGAGACAAGAGGACTCATTGTCACCCATCTTATTTGCTCTTAGTATTGAGCCTCTGGCAGAGGTGATACGCCAAAATGTACAAATCCAAGGGATAGCGGATGAAGGACGTTCAATTCATAAGATAGCTCTGTTCGCAGACAATATTTTACTTTTTGTAAAAAATCCACTTTCTTCCATTCCTGCACTTATGAATACCCTACATGAATACGGGTCAGTGTCTGGATATAAAATTAATGAAAATAAATCAGAAGCCATGATGATTTCAGGCATCTGGCCTACACAACTGAATAATAATGTCTCCTTTCGCTGGTCCAAACAAGGATTTAGATATCTGGGAATAATTATTACACCTAACCCCACCCAACTGTTTAAGGCAAATTATAACAAATTAATTAAACAAATAAAAAATGATGTGACACGTTGGGAAGTTTTGCCCCTGTCTCTATTCGGAAGAGTAGAGACGGTAAAAATGAACCTACTACCGAGGCTTCTCTTTTTGTTTCAATCCCTCCCTATTAGAGTACCTGTTTCCACCTTAAAAATGTTAACTAACTAATCTTAACATTTATATGGCAAAAGAAGAGACCGCGGGTAAGATTAAAATCCCTCTATCTACCCAAAGACATGGGAGGTTTGGGTTTACCAAACCTCAAAAGTTATTACTGGGCTGCACAAATAAATGCTATAGTGACATGGATCGGAAATGATCGGGAGGCAATATGGACTAAAATAGAGCAAGACTCTGTTAGGGGCGTCTCCTTAGCAGTACTCCCATTTATAGATGTAAAGTCAGTTAATAAAATCAAAATAAAGAATGAATGGATAAAACACACCTTAAAAATCTGGACAACAGTAAAAAAAATATTTAGGGGACCGGAGTCAATCTCAAGGGCCTCAAGGGTTGATAGTAGGAAATGTAGAGTTCCCACCTTCCCTGTGGGACAGTGGGTTTAGAAGGTGGGCCGACAAAGGTCTCCGTACAATTAATCAACTTTTTAAAGGAACAGAATTTAAATCATTCTCTCAACTTCAAGAACAATTTGACCTTCCATCAAAGGATCTGTACAGGTACCTCCAGATCAGAAATTATGTCACAAACCATAAGGAAAAGGAAATGGTCAGTAAAAACCCAAATGAAATAGAAGAATACTTTATTAATGTTCTAGAGAAACAATTCCCAACAAAAAAACACCTATCTAACATATACAAAAGGTTAGCAACGGGCACTTCATAAAACACAGAGTACATTAAAGACAAATGGGAACTAGAAATGAACGTTATAATTGAAGACTCTACATGGAAGGACATATGGGCAGGATGTCACAAAGGAATTAGTAGTCAACTGTGGAAAGAGTTTGATTGGAAGGTAAAGATCAGATTTTTTAATTCTTTCTTTATTATCTCTTCATATGTGAAAAATCCCAATGTGGCATTATGTTGGCGAGAATGCGGAAATATTGGAGACACCACACACATCTTCTGGGACTGTCCAGTACTGCAGGAATTCTGGGATGATATTAAAAAGGAAATCGATACTATTTTGGAGATAGATGTTGCTCCAGAACCAATGCTGTTTTTGTTGGGAGCCATACCTAAAGGTATATACAATGCAGACCAACGATATGCATTGAGGATTCTCTTACTAGTAGCAAAGAAAATGATCACAGTGAACTGGAGAGAGGTAAAACCACCAACTATAGGTCAATGGACCCAGAGACTGAAAAATGTCTATATGATGGAAAGGATGACGGCCAGTCTGCAGCTCAAAATAGACATTTTCATACAAAGATGGTCCTGTATCTCAAGATACCTGGGGGTATGATAGATGGGATGAGAGGAGAGAATGCTGCTGGAAGCTCCTGTCTGGGAAACCCTGCTCAGCTATCATAGATATTTGCTCTTCTACCTGTCACTGTCAGTGTTCCTACTATTCTTAATATCAATTATGTAAACTCCTATTACCCTACCTTTTGCACATTCTTTTTTAGTTTATGTCATACGTATATATCCTGCTTTAAAACTTTATTTTTATGCGCTTATGCACCCCCTTGCCTTAGTCCAATTACACATATGTGTGCACATGTGTTTTCAGGTATGTGTATGCATGACTGGGTAGGATGAGGTATGGCTGTATGAGTGCCACCTGTTTTTTATTTAATTATTTATTTACTTCTATATGTGTATGTATTTTATTTAGTTAATCAACTTATTAACTTATTTATTTCACTTTTTTTCTCTATTCTTATTGTTTAGTTCTTATTTTAATCCCCCCTCCTTTTCCCCCTCTTTTTTTTATTTTATTTATTTTTTTATTATTACTTATTTACTCATTTTATTATTTATTTAACTATTTGTTTGTTTTCGGTAGTAGCTCACTCTTCTGTGCGATCTATCACCCATTTTTACGGTTGTATGTCAGGAAATGTTTTGTAAAAATGTTTAAAATGTTTAAATAAAAAGTTCAACAAAAAAAAGAGCACTGAGCACTATGTGTGAATAGAAATTGGAAACCCGGAGTTTTGCAAATATACACTGAGTGAGGAGTTAAATGGTTCAGAAGGACAGTTAAAAAAAATATATGATTTTTTTTTTTTTTTAATAATTTCCTGGCGTCATTTGAAAAGTATGTAGGGCAAAAAAATAAATACATAGTCCTTAATAAATTTCACCTCCATTGTGCAGTTCGTTTTAAGAATGACAAAATTCCAGAAACAAACACATGCTGTAGTGAAAAGTCATTCAAAGCATTCACTAAACAAGCCAAATTATAAAATACCAGGGTGTACTGTTACGATTCCTACCTCTACAGATGCCTCCAAGTCTTCAAACGGGTCAGCAAAGTCTGAAGGACTTTTCTTCAGAGTCTGGTCGGCAGGAAGTGTGTTGTCATTGTAAGATGTCACGAACTTAAAGTCACTGGTTCTAGAACCTGTTGTCAGGTACGCGTCATAATTGTAAGTGCTACGCAAAGTTCCTGTGCCGTCAACATCTGCGTAATTAGGAGGGAGATAAGCGCTGGGGATGGCGACTGCTCCGTCAAACAACAGTCTGGGCTTTCTCCTATGACAAAACCTCACACCCAGAATGATGATAATGAAAGTCAGAAAAAAGGTGGACACAGACACAAGAGCTATGATCAGGTAAGAGGTCAGTTTGGAATTCTTCTCATCATAAGAAATATCCTTCAGTTCTGGCACCTCAGCCAAGTTATCAGAAATAAGTAAATACATGGAACAGGTGGCGGAGAGAGAGGGCTGTCCGTTATCTTTCACTGCCACAATAAGGTTCTGTTTCATGCTGTCAGATTCAGAAATGTCCCGCTGTGTCCTGATCTCTCCGCTGTGGAGACCAATAGTGAAAAGTCCCGGATCAGTGGATTTCACTATATGATAGGACAGCCAGGCGTTCTGTCCGGAGTCCGCGTCCACCGCTATCACTTTGGACACCAGAGAGCCTCCGTGTGCAGCTTTGGGGACCAGCTCGGTCATGAAGGAGTTGCCCTCCGGGGCGGGGTACAGTATCTGAGGAGAGTTGTCGTTCACATCTGATATGAAGACACTCACGGTCACGTTGCTGCTGAGCGGAGGAGAACCGTTGTCTCTGGCCATCACGTGGACTTTAAAGCTCCTGAACTGTTCATAATCAAACGACCTCACAGCGTGGATCACCCCCGTGTCTCCGTTAACAGACAGATAGGAGGAAACCGGGGCACCGTTCACCTCACCAGCTAACAGAGAATAAATCACTGTACCGTTTTGTCTCCAGTCGGGGTCTCGAGCAGTAACGGAACATAAAGTGGAGCCAGGTTTGTTATTTTCAGTCACATATGCGCTGTACGACTGTTCCTCAAACACAGGTGAGTTGTCGTTGATGTCAGCTACAGATAACTCAACAGTTTTAGAGGAGGACAGAGGTGGAGAGCCCTCGTCAGTGGCAGTGATTGTAATGTTGTAATCAGACACTAGTTCACGGTCCAGTTGTCCTGTGGTCACCAGAGAATAATAGTTTTTAATAGAAGGAACCAATTTAAAAGGGACATTCTGTTGAATGGAGCAGCGAACCTGTCCGTTATTCTCAGAGTCTCTGTCCTGCACGTTAATGATGCCCACCTCTGTACCAGGTGACACGTTCTCAGGTATGGGGTTAGACAGTGATTTCAGATATATCACTGGAGCATTATCATTTATATCAGTAACATCTATTATAACTTTGGCGTACGAGGTTAGCCCCAAACCATCTTTTGCTTTCACTCTGGTCTCAAAAGAACTCATTTTTTCAAAGTCAATCACACCAGTTACTCTGATTTCTCCAGTTTTAGGATCAATAGAAAATATATTTACTTCATCGTCAGATACATGGCCAAACTGATATGTCACATCCCCATTCACTCCTTCATCTGCGTCAGTAGCACTGACTTTAATCACTATGGTATCAGGAGGAGAGTTTTCAGGCAGACTGGCTTTATAAACGGTCTGGCTAAACACTGGGGCGTTATCATTAGCATCCAGCACAGTGACGTGTATGACTACGGTACCTGATCTCTGAGGAGACCCACCATCCAAAGCTGTGAGAAGCAAATTCAGCTCTTTTTGTTTCTCTCGGTCAAGCGTATTCTCCAGTATGAGTTCAACCTTGTTACTGTCAGCAGCGAGAATAAAGTTGTCGTTCTTTTGTAGGTTGTACCTCTGAACAGCATTTTGACCTATATCTGCGTCATGGGCCTCCTCGATGGAGAAGCGGTTACCTTTGTCAGCTGACTCCCTTATTTCCATTTCAATCAAATTATCATTGAACTGCGGTGAGTTGTCGTTAACGTCTTGAATATGAAGACTTACACGATGAAGCTCCAAAGGATTTTCTAACACTAAATCTACTTTTAACACACACGAGGGTTTCTTGCCACAAAGACTTTCTCTGTCAATTCTCTCCGATGTGATCAGATCTCCGGTACTCAGATTAATGTCACAGTACCTTTTCCGACTTCCACCAAAATCAACACGGGCCTGTCTTGAAGCTAAGGTCCTCAAATCAACACCAAGATCTTTAGCAATATTCTCAATAACAGACCCTCGTTTCATCTCTTCTTGAACAGAATAACTCAGGTCTCCATAAACGAGGTGCAGCGTTACAAGAAAGGAAGCGAAGCAGAAGATCGGACGAAGCGCTGAAAATCTTTTGTCTCCCATCCTGACACAAAACGCGTCGTCGGCTTAAGCACAATTCACTGCCCAGAGCGAAATGAAAAATACATTCAAATGAGTAAATAATCCACCAATGCACCAGTGTGCACAAAAAATATCCTTTCGTATTCTGCCGATTCTTCGGAAAAAACAACTGCTATCCATGCAGCAGGAATGGGTGGAGTGGTTTGTGTTCATTATCTGTCAACCTACAGCGACACCATGAGTCGAGTTTTATCCTCACACCGATATGCTACAAAATGTTCTTCACAAAGTCTTAAATCACCTGAAGGTACTATTCACCCACGTACACACAGCATGTGCATTATGTGCAGAGAAAAGCTTTAATGCAATGAAGAATACGGCAGAGAAAAAAACAATAGCTAAGTGAATATGAATATTCATCAATGTCTTACCATGAAGACAATTTAAATGTCCTGATCTAGGACGTGTCATGGTCAAAAAAATGTTTACAGCACAACAGAGGCATGGTTCAGCACCATGGACAGTGATGAAAGAAGTAATTACATTAATTATTTTAGTTTTTGCTTAAGTAAACGTACAAATACCACAATAAAACATTACTGTATTGCAAGTAAAACCCCTGGATTCAAAGTTTTACTTAGCTAATAGTACATAAATATTATCACAAAATTAACGTAAAGTATTAAAAAAGGTGACATTATTAGATTGTTGATACCGATGCATTAATGTGTAAGCAGCATTTTACTTCTGTAACTTGTCATGTGGAGCCAATTTTAACTATATTACAGCTAGTTCTGTGGTTTTGTCCAGAGGTTCCCGATGGGGGTGGGTGGGTGGGTGGCCACCTCCAAAGAGTCACATGATAAATTTGAGGTATTGTTAAATATTACAAAATAAACGCAAACATTTGTGACATAATTCCTGGCTTCCTATTGATCATTTTACTAATTTGGGATTGATTTTTCTCTTTCACTTTTTGTTAAATATCAGAAAACTTTACCTCTCTGAGTGACAAGCTATAATAATCAAACTCTTCAGTTTAGAGGAGGAACCACAATTTGCTTTAACTCCTAACACCTAAGAGACATTTGAAATGTGACAATTACATGCTGTTTCTTTGTAATAAATCACATGCCAAAAAGGTTGGGAACCACTTTTCAAATCTTTAACGATGCATTGTTTTTTATAAGCTTATTGTGTTTCTAAAATCTTAATTTCAAAAGTGACGGCCAACAATATCTGTCAGATAAATGTGGTGCAGTAAAAATTTAAATTTTCCTCTGAAATGCAATTAGTTTCATTGCCTAATCTATGGTAAAATACAGCTCCCCACTACTGAATAAAGGATGTAACCATTCTTTCCATCACCATACAGCAATGTTAATTCATGTAGTGCATGTGTGGTAATTGCAAACCATTTAGGCTACCTCAAATATACATACCATCTGTTCAATGCAATTTGCTCAAAGTTGGAGATGCCGGTGTTGTTTAAGAGTAAAACCTAGTACAATGACATTTGATTTGTAGCACAAAAGACACCACCACAACATAAACAAATATGTTTTTTTTGCTTTAGTGCCATCAAAATGACTTTATCCTTGTTTTCAGGTATAGATAAGACATAGTACTAAGCCACCGACAAAAACGGCCAACACACCATACACTAAAGATGTAATGTAAAATAAATATAGAACTATGGGTGAGTTCTCTGAAACACTGTGCTGATGCAGTCCAGGAAGCTACAACAATCCAAACTGTAACAAGATACAGGAAAAAAACATTTGACCAAATTACAGTTACATAAGGTTGTGCTCTTGAAATTAAAACTACAGGATCTCAGAGTTGTTTGAAAATGACATGTGATTCTGAAGGACAGTTGATCATTGGTGTAAATTTCTCAATAGTTGTTTGTGAAAATTAAAAAAAGTAATTAGGAATGTATTATTATTAAAATAGGAGTATTAGTAATAGTAACAGGAGTAGAATTTTTCATGACCATATCATTGTATTTCATTCAGCCTTTTCTAATTTAACAACGTTGTTTAAGACAACATCACAAGTACATTGCGTTTGCGTATGAACATTGGTTCAGCACCATGGACAGATGGTTTTTGATATGGAATGATCAGTGCCTCCCAAACATCAAAGTGTTGTATCTTAAGTTTGTATACTGCTTCGACCAGTGTTCTTAAACTCAAATATGTGTGAGGAGGTTTCACAAAAGAATGTACTAATTCAGTTGTTAGAAATCAAATAATAGCCACGTTCGAACGCAAGAATCAGAAGTAGGAATTGCAGTATTTCAATCATTCAGAAACCCTTCATAGTCAGTGATAAAACGTGATACGGCCAATGATTCACAAACAATACAGGCTCGCGCTAATAGCTTCGTTTCTTCTTATTATATAACTCACAATCGCACTTTGAGCTAACTGACTCCATTCACGCCAGTCAAGAGTGAACAACTTTGTGGAAAAATTAAACACGTAGTTAGAGATGATAACTAACTACTTTTTAGGAGTAATGTTTGTCTATGTAAAAAAAAATTCGATAAGTGAATCAACCAAAATACCGTCTTGAAAAGAAACTAGGTGAAGATAATAGGGGAATACTTTTCATAAACATTTGGTGATGGTTATGAAAAATGGAAGAAAGGTTTAAGATTTCTAACAAAATGCAAAATATTTTACAATGACCTATAAATATACATTCTTTGACACAAAATTTAATTAAAGTCCACTTTTGAATTTCGAACAGAAAGTATTGCTGAAAGCTTGGACACAAATTGAAAAGCCAAGAAACATAGGCCTATGTTTTGACAAATACACTAGTTTGAATAGCTCCTACCTCTACAGATGCCTCCAAGTCTTCAAACGGGTCAGCAAAGTCTGAAGGACTTTTCTTCAGAGTCTGGTCAACAGGCAGTGTGTTGTCAGTGTAAGATGTCACGAACTTAAAGTCACTGGTTCTAGAACCTGTTGTCAGGTACGCGTCATAATTGTAAGTGCTGCGTAAAGTTCCTGTGCCATCAACATCTGCGTAATTAGGAGGCAGATAAGCGCTGGGGATGGCGACTGCTCCGTCAAACAACAGTCTGGGCTTTCTCCTGCGACAAAACCTCACACCCAGGATGATGATGATGAAAGTCAGAAAAAAGGTGGACACAGACACCAGAGCGATGATCAGGTAAGAGGTCAGTTTGGAATTCTTCTCATCATAAGAAATATCCTTCAGTTCTGGCACCTCAGCCAAGTTATCAGAAATAAGTAAATACATGGAACAGGTGGCAGAGAGAGAGGGCTGTCCGTTATCTTTAACTGCCACAATAAGGTTCTGTTTCATGCTGTCAGATTCAGAAATGTCCCGCTGTGTCCTGATCTCTCCGCTGTGGAGACCAATAGTGAAAAGTCCCGGATCAGTGGATTTCACTATATGATAGGACAGCCAGGCGTTCTGTCCGGAGTCCGCGTCAACCGCTATCACTTTGGACACCAGAGAGCCTCCGTGTGCAGCTTTGGGGACCAGCTCGGTCATGAAGGAGTTGCCCTCCGGGGCGGGGTACAGTATCTGAGGAGAGTTGTCGTTCACATCTGATATGAAGACACTCACGGTCACGTTGCTGCTGAGCGGAGGAGAACCGTTGTCTCTGGCCATCACGTGGACTTTAAAGCTTCTGAACTGTTCATAATCAAACGACCTCACAGCGTGGATCACCCCCGTGTCTCCGTTAACAGACAGATAGGAGGACACCGGGGCACCGTTCACCTCACCAGCTAACAGAGAATAAATCACTGTACCGTTTTGTCTCCAGTCGGGGTCTCGAGCAGTAACGGAACATAAAGTGGAGCCAGGTTTGTTATTTTCAGTCACATATGCGCTGTACGACTGTTCCTCAAACACAGGTGGGTTGTCGTTGATGTCAGCTACAGATAACTCAACAGTTTTAGAGGAGGACAGAGGTGGAGAGCCCTCGTCAGTGGCAGTGATTGTAATGTTGTAATCAGACACTAGTTCACGGTCCAGTTGTCCTGTGGTCACCAGAGAATAATAGTTTTTAATAGAAGGAACCAACTTAAAAGGGACATTCTGCTGAATGGAGCAGCGGACCTGTCTGTTATTCTCAGAGTCTCTGTCCTGCACGTTAATGATGCCCACCTCTGTACCAGGTGACACGTTCTCAGGTATGGGGTTAGACAGTGATTTCAGATATATCACTGGAGCATTATCATTTATATCAGTAACATCTATTATAACTTTGGCGTATGATGTTAGCCCTAAACCATCTTTAGCTTGCACTCTCATTTCAAAGGAACTCCCTTTTTCAAAGTCAATCACACCAGTTACTTTAATTTCTCCAGTTTTAGGATCAATAGAAAACACATTTACCTCATTGTCAGATACATGACCAAACTGATATGTCACATCTCCATTCACTCCTTCATCTGCGTCAGTAGCACTGACTTTAATCACTATGGTATCAGGAGGAGAGTTTTCAGGCAGACTGGCTTTATAAACGGTCTGGCTAAACACTGGGGCGTTATCATTAGCATCCAGCACAGTGACGTGTATGACTACGGTACCTGATCTCTGAGGAGACCCACCATCCAAAGCTGTGAGAAGCAAATTCAGCTCTTTTTGTTTCTCTCGGTCAAGTTTATTTTCCAGTACGAGTTCAACCTTGTTACTGTCAGCAGCGAGAATAAAGTTGTCGTTCTTTTGTAGGTTGTACCTCTGAACAGCATTTTGACCTATATCTGCGTCATGGGCCTCCTCGATGGAGAAGCGATTGCCCTTCTCAGCAGACTCGCTTATTTCCATTTCAATCAAACTTTCTCTGAATTTTGGCGAGTTGTCGTTTACATCTTGAATATGAAGACTTACACGATGAAGCTCCAAAGGATTTTCAAACACCAGATCTACTTTCAAAACACACGAGGGTTTCTTGACACAGAGGATTTCTCTGTCAATTCTTTCCGATGTGATCAAATCGCCGGTACTCAGATTAATGTCACAGTACCGTTCATGCGTCTCATCAAAATCAACACGGGCCTTTCGTGAAGATAAGGTCCTCAGATCAAGACCGAGATCCTTCGCTATATTTCCAATAACAGACCCTCGTTTCATTTCTTCTGTAATAGAATAACTCAGGTCTCCATAAACGAGGTGCAGCGTTACAAGAAAGGAAGCGAAGCAGAAGATCGGACGAAGCGCTGAAAATCCTTTGTCTCCCATCCTTACACAAAACGCGCCCTTAACTTGTCCAACTTATACTGTCCAGTGTGATGAAGCAAAATCTGTCCAAAAACAGTCAATAACGCAACACTTCACAGCAGTGTACAGGATCAAATATGATTGGAAATTTAACCGTTCCTCTGAAAAATCTGAAACTGATATCTATGCAGCAGTAGTGGGTGGAGTAGTGAGTGCTTATTTTCTGACAGCTCACAGCGACACCATGAGTCACTTTTTGTCTTTACACTAGTATATAATAAAACATTACTCAAAAAGTCTTTAACTACATTAAGTAAATATTCCCTCTGCATGGCTTTCATTTACTTAAAACACACGTGAGTAATCTATTGTAATTGGATCAGCGCTAGGGATGTAGGTGTTATTCACCCAAGTTTAGCTCAGCTACATTTGGTTTGTGACCCTCCTGTAGCATCAACAAATGTTACCTTTGCTTTATGTTTTTAAAAGTTGGTATATACAAAATAAGCAAACAAAAAACACATACTTTCTGAGCCTCTGTAATAAAAAAAAAACAGCTTAACTTTCAGTACAACACTGTAACGTTCACTAACAATATGTGATTGAAATATAGGTAAAACTGTGGCTAATCACTCTATACAAACACAATGAACTGAGACAGTCAGTTATTACAACAATTATAAAATTTTATTACTTAAAAATTACTACTATTATTATTATTATAATCATTATCATTATCATTATCATTATCATTATCATTATCATTATTATTATTATTATTATTATTATCATT